AAATGTATCAATTACTTACAAAAAGTTAAATTAATAAATTTATTATTAATAACAAATTAAAATTGTGTATAGCAAATAGTATGCAACGAATATTAACGATAAAAGTGAAAAAAGTTAATAAATTATTGGTTATTCCAGCGAAATGGTACATTTTAAAGGAATCGGTAAAATTCGAAATTTCTGGATTCATTTCTGATTAACCAGTTACTTATCATCTCCATATTAATAATATTTTTCTACATTATGGATTATCGTGTACTTATCATCTATAAGTCAACGGTAGTTTTCTACTTTAACCATTATCCAGATTCTAATTACCTCTTCGGTAACAGTTGTTTTCTTCATTACTGGTTGTCGAGTTACTCATCACCTATTCAATAACAGTAGTTTTCTACATTGTCGATTATCGAGTTACTTATCCTCTGTTGGTTAACAACTGTGTTCTACATTATTAATTAACGAGTTACTTATTACCTCTATATTACAGTAGATTTCTTCATTACTGATTACCGAGTTACTCATTACCTCTTCAGTAACAGTTGTTTTCTTCATTGCAGATATCGAATTTCTTATTACCACCGCACTAACTGCTGATTTCTTCATTTCTGATTATGTAGTTTCTTATTACCTCTTCATTAAGAGTTGTTTTCTTCATTACCTATTATTGAGTTTCTTGTTACCTCTACAGGATCCGTCGTTTTCTTCATTATCTATTATCGAGGTTCATATTACCTCGTCCGTTACCGATATTATCTGCATTACCAACTATCGAGTTTCATATAACCTCTTCAGTTACCATTGTTTTCTACATAGCATATTATCCTGTTACTTATTACCTCTTCAGGAACTGTTGATTTCTGCATTTTGGATTATCGAATTTCTTATTACCTCTTCATTAACAGTTGTTCCTCCATTATTTATTAATGTGTTTCTTGTTACCTCTTCAGTACCTGTTGTTTTCTATATAATTGATTATCGAGTTTCGTATGACTTTTTCTGTTATAGTCTTTTTCTACGTTACTGATTATCGAGTTACCTTTTTCCTTACAATAACCGTTCTTTTTTTCCATTATTGATTATCAATTTACTTACCATCTCTTCATTATGGGTTCTTTTCTATATAACCGATTAACGTGTTACATATCATCTCTTCGTAACGGATGTTTTCTACTTTATATATTATCGAGTTACTTATTACCTCTTTAGTAACAGTTATTTTCTTCGCTGCCGATTGTCCTGTTACTAATCATCTCTTCATAGTTAATCTGTGTATACATTATAGATTATCGAATACTTATCACCGCTTCATTATTGGCCGTCTTCCACATTACTGTTTTATTTAACATCTCATTATTATCCGACATTTTCTCCACTACTAACGGTCTGTGACTTATTCTGCAAGTTGCAACTATATTTATAGCTTCTTGAATTATAAATCATGCCAAATATATAAAACGACACAATTTTATTCAAAACATCCTACCATTGATTTTATTTTGTACGTTAAATCACATATACCAATTACATGTAAAGACAAAACGTGATCTGATTACGATTACCATGTCTTCCATGACGTCTTAATATTGCAACAACAAAGGAAGTTGGCATATACAAATCGCGATTGAAAATCCGGTGATTACTGGTGAACAAGGGGAAGCGGAGGTACAACCATCGTAGCTAATTATTCCTCAACCTGACTAATCTTGAAAAATTGAAATTTTGTTGTGCAATTTCGAAAAAATCACAAAGTCCAAAAGGAACTATGAGAATTTACAATTGATAACAATAATCTTAAATCCGAATCGTAGCTCTCAGCTTGGAATCGTTTCCGAAAAATTGTTCTTTGGGAAACGATACCAATTACCAGGTCTCACCACGTGGAGGTGGCTACGCATCGAGACCCGACATGCGCCCTAGTGGCGCAGCCTGCTGGCGCTATCCGTATCAAAGGTATCT